ATTTCAATGAAACTTCAGTGTAATCTTTTCCAACATGAAAATGTGTCAAATCGAAAAATTTCATTCAACATTAAGCACTTTTTGTTGAAGAAATCTATTTTAGAATCTTGACCTTAATATCATAGTTAATTGTAGTTCTGTTAAATGACCTTCAATTCATCGAATACAGCAGCAACAGAATTAGTACCAGATGATGAAGTAAATATAAATCTACATTTTCACCGTTAAGAGTTTAATTTTTCATTTCATAGACAAAAGCTAATCAAAAGCACATGTTGATTTCAAATTTACGCATGACATTGAAGAAACGATAAATATTTTAGAGAGAACTTTTGTGAGAGAGAATCGAGAGAAAAGCTACGAACATAGAAAACGAAACAAAATATTTTCGAAGCTTTTACTTTCATCCTGTTGCTTGTTGCATAAAGATATTAACTTACAAAGTTCATCAGAGTTTTAATAGCTTCAGAAGAATCAAAGGGAAATTGATATTTTTACTGAATAAATAAGAAGTTAGATATTATTGTGTTTTTTAATAATACAACAATTAACAGTGTGCAATTCAGAAAATGGATAAATTAAATATTTTCAGTTATAGCATTTGAGGTAGTTGTAATATGCTGAAAAATATAATCAGTGGAAAATGTGCAAACAAAAATATTTGAAATACATATTTATCTAATGGTTTTCACTCATAATGTTTAATCGAGTTTCCTTTAGTTATAATGATAATAGCATAAATTTTGGTACAAATTGAAACTGAGAAATTGTATTTCAAATTGAACATTCCTAAGATAACAATTTTTGAAATACGCATATTCGGCTCATATTTATGTATCAAATTTATTTCCAAATATATTTGATTCAAAATTTGTTCTTGAGATTTAACTTAAAGTATATTTAAACTTGGAAGTTAATTAAATATCCCAATTTTAAACTCATTAAACTTTTAATGTACCAAAGCTTTAATGAGATGTTCAGAGGTATAAAGAATTTAACTGCGTTTGTTATTTTAATGTTTTAAATTCAAATCTAAATGTATTTTTTTTTATAATTAATGTTAAAATTTAAATATCTCCTGCATGTAAGTATAACCATTTTCATGATTAGCTAACAAGAGAGATTGAAAATCGATAAAAAAAGTGAAATTTAAAGCGTTCAGATTTTTAAATTAAGTAGACTGATATGAAGAAATGACTTTTATTGTGAAATTAAATTGTGCTTTTGATTGTTCTCTTACAAGAGATGCTTAATGTATGGCACAAAGGAATTTTTGATGAAAAGAGCAGAACATTTCGTGCTTCATAAACATCGCTAGATAAAACATAACATCATTTATAATAAAATTAGACAAAAGAAAGGAAAATGCCTTATTTTTTTCATAGCACCCTAAATCATTTCCGGTGAAGTAAATCCTCCTGAAGCATTACTAGAATATGCCTAACATATTTATAAATTTTTATACTGCCATCATGTTGACTGCACAATTAGGTCAAGAGCAGAAGCTTCAATGTTTATGAACGATATTGCAATCGTATTGTTTCATTGAAAGGTTCAATGTTACTTTCTATTTTTATATTGTTACTGTCATTATCAATTTCACAAGTCATTCGTTGAAAGAACATAAACCACTTTTAAAATGCCTAACAAAATATTAAATTATTTTCTTTTGTATATTTTTTTTTCATTCAGGACCTTCATAGAATAAATACCTGAATCTAAGCATTAAGTTAAATATTATCGAAATCAAAAGGGAAGCTTGGGAGCGGAAGAAAAATGCCTTCGATGTACTGCGACTATGATTATTTGATAAAATTTCTAGCTTTGGGAGATAGCGGTGTGGGCAAAACGTGCTTCTTGTATCAATACACTGATGGTGTATTTCATTCTCGTTTCATCTCCACAGTTGGAATTGATTTTCGTGAAAAGAGATTGGTGAGTAAATATTTTTCTATTTGTTCCCTTGGGAATTAATTATTCATCATAATTTTCTTGTGTCTCTGTCATCATGAAAAGCTTTACAACTCAAAAGGAATTAATCACCGAATACATTTGCAATTATGGGACACTGCGGGTGGGAAAGGAGACAAAATATTTGTGAATATATTTCAAACCTCAATTATTGTTCTTAATGTTTTAGGGCAAGAGTGCTTTCGCTCATTAACAACTTCCTTCTTCCGCGATTCCATGGGGTTTCTTTTAATATTTGATATTACAAATGAAAGATCATTCTTAGAGGTCCAGAGTTGGATTGAACAGTTAAAGATTCATGCATATTGTGATAATCCTGATATTGTTTTATGTGGTAACAAACTGGATTTGGATTATTTGAGAGTTGTAAACACCTCACGAGCAAAAAGTCTTGCTGAAAAGTATGACGTACCTTATATTGAAACAAGCGCATATACAGGTTGTTTTTTTATATTAAGTTCGTTGTTTCATCTACCTATAAAACTATAAAATCATTTAACTATTTAGGAGAAAATGTAAGCAAAGCTGTGGAGATGCTCTTGGACAAAGTAATGTTGAGAATGGATACTCTTTCATTCCCTGGCAGAATGCTGCCAATCACACTACCCCCTCTTGTTGAAAATAGTCATAATGGGAATGACGCTTCTATAAAACTTGACAACACGACGGCGAGGTCAAAATGTAATTGTTGAGTATCCCAGAAGATATGATTAAATATTATAACCAATTTTGTTGAATGTTGATGATGAAAATTTAAAATATGACAAACAAAATGCTACATTACAATACATTATTCTTATAAATGTTTCAATATTAATTGTTGAATGTTAAATAAGAGTGAATAAAATATATAAAATTGATTTGTTGTCTAAATGGAAAAATGTTTACAAAAATTTTTACATCAAAAAGCAACACAAAAAGCAACACAAAAAAAAACATAAAACCATTAAATATAACATTTTCAAAAAGATTACAGGGCACTGCGGGGATATCATCAACTGGAATTTGTGTTAATTAAATTATACTCAATACTTTTTATAAAAACTCCAAAGTTTCATTCATTTGATAGTTAATTAATATTAAAAAGAACATCAAAGAACAAATCTAAACCCAATTTAAATTAAAATTTAATTTGATTTCCCATGAAGTGATGTGGAAAGAGCTTTTCATGATTTGGATTTAGACAGAGAAGAAAGTTTAGAAATTTAAAGTTCACTCACTTTCGGAATTGCTTAATCATAAGATAAATTTAAAATGGAATGAATTTATGTATCATACATGTTTATGACTTTAAAAGACTTATCTAAGTGAATAAATGTTATGGCTAGTTTAATGAATTTTTATAATATTTTGTTTGTGTTTGCTTATCTTATCAAATTGCACACACCCCATTGATAAAATTTTGCGTCTCGATAGAAAGAGAAAATTGAATCAGAAATAAAAAAGTTTTGAAGCAGATCGTTCATGTGTTTGATCGTTCTGAGTTTGCTTTTAACCAGACATCTCTGATAATTCCATTGTAGTGCTAAATTATTGTTATCATTTTAAATTTACATTAATTAATTTTTTTCAATATTTCGAAGTATTCTACATTTAACTGATCAACATTTTTAGAATGGAATCAAAAATTACTTTACAAAAGACTTCATGCTACTTTTGTAGAGAATGGTTAGATGATAAAAACATTAAGGTAATTGTAAACCAATTTAAAACCTGGGCCAATGTCGAGTTCTATGTTTCATTAGTCATTCACAATAATAGAAGTCGTAAAAGTGATAAGCTTTTGATTGTACCGAAACCTGTGTACGGTAAATGTTTCACACATTCCAAATGTTAGTTGTATACGCGAAAGTAAACAATGCCGAAAAAGATAAAAACATAAAAAAGCAGGGCATGGAAAAATACTTTTGAATTTAAACATTTTCATCGCTCAGAAATATGAAAGAAATTTTATTTTCACATCTAGTAATATTAAGCTTTCAACAGAATCATTTATTAACTTGTGGTCAAGTATTGGAAAAGTGTCCTTTGAACTGTTTGTCTTACATTCAACGTAAAAACCTTGAAAATCACATCAAAACTTGCACAAAAGGAGAAAATTCCAATAAGAAGATGCACAATGGGATTGCAAACTTTCAAAGCTTAAAGGATTCACCAATTATAGAAAATGACAGAGTTGAATTAATAGAGGAAAACTTGATCAAATTACGAAAATCACTGAACGAAGAAATTCAAATGCGGCATGATGTTATCGGCGAACTTGGTAACTTAAAAAAACGAAACCAGGTAAGTTTTAAACAGAAAGAAAAGCTTTTTGGTTATAATTTAATTTCATTTTTGAGATAACTGATGAGTGGACTGTTAAGGTAAGTGAGGTTCTCAACCTTCTACAAAAAAGAATACAAGAAGAAAAGGAAAGCAGACACTTGGAGATAAAAGATTTGAACGGAGTTGTTCAGAATTTACTGAAAGAGTTTCAGGCAAGACAATATTTGTAGACCATGTTTATTCATATCGATAAAAATATTCTTCCTTTCAAAGAGCAGGAAGTCAAGAGTTCTCGAGTGGAAATCTCCAAGACATTTAATGCCATGGAGAAAAACATTATCCCAAGTTCAAGTAGCAGTGAAGTTACTCTCGCTAATAATGAATGGATGAATGAATTTAAGAGATTAGGTAGAAATAGATCATTTCTCTACATCCAATAATTATTTTGTTAGACATATTGTATTCAAATACGTTAAGAATCAACTAATGAAAAATTATTTTTTGATGATAGAGAGTGAATTTGAAAAACTTAAATTTCAATCATCGGACGATATGAATGATTGCGTAAAATTCATCTCTGCAATTAATGAGAAGCTAAATCGGGTGGAATCGATAAATACAAATCAACATCATTACACAGAGTATGTAAATTTATGTATACGCATTCAGTAAAAATCTAAATTATTATTTTTTAATTTTAGCGACAACCTATCTCATTCCTTTTCTCGATTAGATCAAATTGAAAGTGATTTAGTCACTTTTAATGATCGTCAATCGAAAACAGAATACAATTTGAAACAAGTAACAAATACAGTAAATGATACTGAAGAAAAATCAGAGAAACTTGAGAAGGAAATAATGATGTATAAGGAGATTATCTATGAAACAAAACAAGGCTTAGCAGATCTTGAAGAACATCTTCGAGTCCAACGACAGTTCAATATGATAACAAATATTCGGGGACATTTGATATGGAAGATAAACCATTATTCTAGGAAACTTAAAGATGCCAAAGAATCAGATGTCCCACTGAAAAGCCCAATTTTTTCTAACAAACATTACGGTTATGCTTTGCGTCTTGATGTGCATTTAAATGGAATTGGAACATGGAAGAACCGCAACTTAATAGCATGTCTTACTGTTGTGAATGGAGATTTTGATACACTTCTTCCATGGCCATGCAAACTTAAGGCTGACATCATTTTGAGAGATCAACCAGACGACTTGAATGATGCTGTTGACATCACAAAATTAGTGATAACAAAAAAACGTAACGACAGATTGGAATACCAAAATCAGTTTATTCACATTCCCCATCAGATTGTTAACAGGTCAGTTTATTTTGATCAATTATTAGTAATATCAAAGGTCTTAATATTTGTTTTCATTCATTTAAAAGCGGAAATTACATCAAAAACGATTCTATAATAATGGAAGTGAAAATTCAAAAAACTTATGAAGGAGTTGCCTTGAGAGCCTCAACACCCAAATCTACTACGCCAACAATAATATAAATTAATATATGTATTATTTCAAGGATGTTTTTATGTTATATAGTGGAACTTCGATAAACAGCTACTTCGATAAACAGATAAACCTTGATAAACAGATATTTTTTTGTCCCCTTGAATCGAATTTGTATGAAAAATTGCCTCGATTAACTGATACCTCGATTAACTGATGCACCTTCAGTCATCTGTTTATCGAAGTTCAACTGTAGTAGATAATGCGACTAGATATGAAAAGTTATTTTTTCCTTGCAAAGCTCAATATGATTTGAATCGCTGCAGCGCGCTGTTAAACTGTTTAAGTGAAATAAAATCAAAAAAAAAACATTAATAAAATATCAAATTTTTTCATTATCCACAAAGTTTTCTTAAGAAATATAAAATAAACAATAAGAAAAAACATAAGCAAAATTGTGTTATGGGAATTCTTAAGTTATGAAACAGATTCAATTGTTGCTGAAAAACGATTAGGAAAGAAGTAAGAAGAATAATTCGACTGTGAAATCATCCATCCGTCAATGTCGTTTCAAGTAATAACAAGTAAAAAACTTTTGTCTCAAAGTTTAATGACGAAGTTTGTTACTCAAGTTTTCTTTCACTGAAAGCATTGCCATTAAAAACAGCATGAAATTATTTTTATTCCTCGCTTTTAATTAATGTTATCTAAAATTAAGTATCTAATAAGGATTTAAGTAAAATAGAAGACTTTTGGGAAGAAGTTTACGTGAAGCAGAAGATGGTAATATAAAAGCCTTCATCCATAGAGTATTATGGAACAGTTTTTGTCTAAAAGAATCAAAAACCATTTGATCAAAACGAATCTACCTGCAAAATCTGTCTCTAAATAAATTTGGAAATTTAAACATAGCTTGGTATTTTTTCTTTTATTATAGATTGTTTTGAATTTTGAGAACACTTATCTTACATATGCAATCACATGCAGATAACTAATAAAACTGTCATTAATAAATAAGATTTTTTATCATAATTAATGAATAATATCTGACAGATTATAATAAAATTTTTCGTACTCATGAAAAAAGAAATTTTGTGTTTGACTCTTCATAATTTTCCCCGAGATTCTCCTTAAATAGACATTCAAATACTGAAGATATTCTTTGACATGTCATTCTGTAGTTATAGACTTTATTTTATTGTGAATCCAACTTCCAATTTATTGAGGATAATTTTCTCGGGTATACAAACGAAGTATAAAGATATGTGTAGTTAGCATATTTTTTAGTGATTTTCAAATGAGTTAAATTTGAAATGTTTTGTGTCCAAAAGGAATAAATTTTTTTATAAATATTTTGAACTTTCTTGAACAAAATCTTATTTCAAATTATTTGTACGCTTGGATATGTAATGAAAAATATATTGATAATTGAAATCTTGTAATATTTATCTGATCAGTTGAACGTTCAATGAATTAAAAATAATAATTTGAAGTAAATTGTAAGGATTCTAAAATCTATGTTGTAATTCAACAGTATTTTTTTTAATTAGTATTTCTAAGATATCTTCAGATATTTATTTTAAAATATTGAATAAACTAAAATTCAGTGAAGAAAAATTGGTTATGTAGTACCTGTGGGTTCATAGATATTTTTAAAGTTTTAGAATGTTGTTTCACGTGTTAAAGTTTTAAAAAATATGACTTTCACTCTAAACAGTGAATGTTTAATATTTCAAATACAATTCTAACTAATTTAATGTAAGAAAGTTTCTTGAATATTCAACATGGTGCATGAAAGGTTTAAGAAAGCTACAATCACAATGTTGCAGACTTAGCGATTGTCAATAACTTCATATCTTTTATTTCATTTGAATAACATTTCAATAATAAAAACTACATCATCTTTGAAAGATATTTGGGAAACTATTCATTGTCGAAGAAAGCTTTTTAAAAATAAGCTTAAAATAATATTTTTAATAATTTAACGTTATAGGATTAGGTATTATGGGTTAAGTGCTTATCTATTTATGTTGATATATAAAATGAGCTTTTGAATATGATTTGTAAACGCATTTTTGTTTTATCATAAATTTGAGGAATAAAGCTTTCTTGAGGAATACTAATGTAGATATTTAAACAATTTTCAGCCATATGTTTGGTTCCAATGAGAAATAAAAATATTTCGACTTATCTTAATAAATAGTTTTAAAAACACTTCAAAAGACGCATTTCATGGTAAGTCTAATAAATATCTTAGCATTGCATGAATATTACAATATAAGAATAAAATTCTATTGAAATAAAAATTTCAATGCATGATGGAACTTCTAAATATCTAATTGAAGTTTTTTTAATAATTTTTATATGTAGATGTTTAATCTAAATAAAATAATTTGGTGTTAACACTAGATAACATAAAAGCAATAGAGATTACGTAACAGTATAGCAAGAATAAATATTTTAAAATTTCACAATACTCGATTATATATTTGCCTTTACCTTATTTCCTAAATATCTTTTGTGTATAAATATAGATATGCTTAAAATATTCCTTAATCAGATGAAAAGAAAAGATGAATAATCAAAACATCTATTCTAATCTACATAAATGTACTCAGAATTAAAATAATCATCTGAGCGATGAAATGTTGCATAAACATTCACTTATACGTTGAGAAGTAGATCATTAATACACAAACATAAGAAAGCATTTTGAGAATTTGAAATTGTTATAAGCTTAAAATTTGTCTTTTCAAGTGGTGTATTTAATTTGATTAGATAAAATTTAAAATTTATTCATAACAGTGAGAATGTAAAAGGCCAAATTAAATTTTAGATATAAATTTCCTTTTTCTTTTATGTTTGCTTTTTCTTGATTCTTAATTATACTTCAACGTGGAAACTTTTTTCAATATTTAATCATACTCATTGAAATTAACATCTTTAAGCTCCAATAAGTTTTTTCACGGTGTACCCGGGAATGGAATAAAAGAAAAGAAGTATCATAAAAGCTATGCAGAGAAAAATTAATGCTTTGATTATTTTCCACTTGTAGTTATGCCAAATGATATATCGTATGGATTTCAAAGGATTTAAGAACCACATAAAAGATGCATCCGGACGGCTAAAGGGATAATAAATGACAATGAAAAAGATAAGTTTCAAGTTTATTGAATTACTCACTTCGGTTTTTCAAGTGCATCTGGTTCATTACGTCCAAACCCAGCTTGATTCTTCTCTGCTTCTTCTTTAGAAAGTAAGTGAATTTCGGCTTCAACTTTTCCTGTCAGTTCCATCTCATCGTTCTCCTTCTTGATGAAAAAAGGCCACCACCCTCTGACACGCTTTTGTTTAAATATGTTGACAGTTGGAACATCAGATTTCAGCATATCAAGAGAACAAAGTTTAGAGTTTTTAGCCCCTCTTGGAAATCTGGTGAGATTTAGTGAAATAGCTCCAAGGAAATCATCTGCCGAAAAATGGTCTGCATCCCACACTTGAAGTTCCAATCGTGCTGGAATTTTTACTTCGGTTTCATCCCAGCTAAACAAAGATTCTTTTCTAGATAAAACGATTCGTTCTTCAGCAGCCAAATATTCGAAAGGGAAGATGAATCTCCAATTAAAATTCCCTTCGCCTGTCAGAGAGCGATAGTGAATGTCTGTTGATTGAACATCTTGTGGACCTTTAAGCCATCCTTTGACGTAAATATCTGACATTTTTTCCCCACTGAAAAAGGCATCGTCTTCTAAAACCACATCATCGGTATTCCATATCACAACCCTTAATTCATAAGATTTTGGTTTTCGTGGTGAAATGTCAACAGGTGGACCTGGTAGTGGCATATCCATTGGAAACAAATCCACCCACATTTCAAGTTTGCCTTGTTCAATTCCTGGCTTTTCAGGATTATAAATTGGTCGAGATTCAATATGTTCAGGAACAATTTTACATCCCACTCTTGGAATTTCCTCCCATCGATGGAGAACAGCAAGTGCAAGATGTTCGTCTCGATATTTACATGTAGTAGGACTATTCCAAGCTATCACTTCATCTTTACCAAAGGTCATACAGTAACGACCAATAACAACTCTGTCTTGAAAGTAATGCGGATTCTCCAGCTTATTATCTTTACACAGTTTTAGAAGAATCTGTGTCGGTTTCATAGGATCCCTCCAAGCATTGTATCCAGTACTTGAAAGAAAGACAATAAATATGTTATAGATCAAAAGGTCTTTTCTATATAATTAAACTTACTCTTCATATTTCTTCGATAAACCACAAAGTGCTCGATGTTTTGAGTAAAATCTGTTTTCCAAGTCAATTTTTGTTTCTCCAATTAAATCATCTGAACCCACCAAGTCCCAATCAAATATTTGCACCGTTAACATCGAGTCTTGGGGAAAACAACATTCAATTTCAAAACATTTTCCAAAAACTGGATTTAGTTGTTTGCTGACGTAATTATCTTTGTCAGAAATCTTTTTACCGCCTAATTGGAGTACAACGTAAGGATCCGCTTTGCCATTTAAATCCATCGGATGTAAATCGGTCGCTTTTACAATGTAAACTCGAACAAGAACATGAATTGGATCATTGAGGGGTAGTGAGGGTGCAAATGCTGGTTCCATTGTCTTGTCAACTGGAAGTCGATAAACTTTTATTGATCCCTTAAAATATCCGACTATTCGATTCTCATCTTCCATACTATCGCCTGTTTTCTTTCCTCGATATAAAGGAAAAGATAGAAGCCACTCTTTGAAATAATTATACTCTGATTGTGCCTCAAGCTCATGAGGGAAAATTTCACAAGTTGCGAAGTTTTTAACTTTCGTTTGTGTTTTCGCAACGTGCTTGGGACTAATTTTCTGAACAATTTTAGATTTACTGATAAGAGTAAATCTTCTTTTTTGATGTTCGCCATCGTTTACTGGTGAGATACACAAGCTTTCATAAGCTCGCTGTGATGATCCCTTTGTAGATTCAATCAACTTTTCATACGAGAGAAAATATTTAGTCCACCAGTCTTTTGTTTCGTCATCGTCATCTTCTTGTTCCATTGAATCATCTGACATTTGTTGGAGATGCTTCTTTTTCGATGTGCTTTTTTTCATTCTGAAAAGAACATTCAAGATGAAAGATAACGTTTCATATAATTGAAATAAAAAAGTCAAAAGTCGCTTACACTTTTCCGACACAAGCAGCACCGTATAAAGTTAAATTTTCACAAGAAGACGATGTTCTTTGTAGCCTGGTGCCGTCGGTTGTTATGAGAAGCTGTTGTTGTTGTTGTTGTTCTTCATTAGTGATTGTTTTGTCGGATGAGAGTATAATGTGACCATTTTGCTTGCTTACCGATTCCCTTGGAGCAGGTCGATGCATGTACTTATGAATGGAAGTTATTTGATGAGTTCCGACTAATGTGTATCGACCGAAAGATCTACAATCTACACATCGAATTGTTATTGGTGGAGCATAAGTTTCTTCAACCGGTAATTCCAAATCAAAAAACTTGAGCATATTAGCAAAGTTGGGATTTTTCTTTGCGTTTTGAATAATACTAGAGCTGAGAATGTTTCCTGAACATTCAACATCAATTCGTGGTTTATCTACACTCATAAAATGAACTCGTTTTAAATCTCGCAATCCCCAAAACAGTACTTCAATTCGGAATCGAGCTAAGTGTGGTCGAACATCGCGAGGAACAGGAAAAATAATCGGATGTTGGCTGTTAGCTCCTGAAATTGTTGAATAAAGGAAAAAAAAAGAAATAAATTTAACATGATTTGATGAATGAAGATTAGAATCCTAATAAGAAAATACCTTTTACATCAACTGGTATATATTTTGGTTCAGTTAAAGCTGGTAAATCATTAGACCCAATTTCAAGCATTTCAAATGCTGCTAACAACTCCCCAGCGCTATCATTTCCGCGGATAATCTCAAACCATTCTAAGATTGGCGTTTTATAAGGATTCTCTTTAAGCTTTACTTTCGGTTTCGCAATTGCTCTGCCAATAAACTCCGACTTTCCAACCTTGTCTTGATCGTAAATCTCAATAACAACTGTTGGAGGGTCACGTTGAATTTCTTCTTTTGCGCCGTAAACCAAAACATCGTCAAATACAAGCAACTCATCCCACGTCGGACTGAGAGTTTCTTCAATAACTTGAGTTGTCTTTGAAAATTCAGAAATGAAAACAGTAGCATAAGGGTCGCTTAATCCACTTGCATCAGAGCCAATTAATGATCTCGCTTGGTAGATATGAGCACGAAGTTGAAATGTCTGTGCATGTATAACATAGCGTGTAAATTAAAATGTCACGAAATTGAAACAGAGAAGCATTAATAAACAAAATCAATAAAAATTTACGTGTTTCTCCAAGTAGTGAATGTTAGTCGGTGCTAATGCTCTGGGTCGTTCAGCATTTCTCAAATCTTGTGATAGTTCAAAGCCCCTAGGAAGGCCACTAAAGAAAAACTTTTTGTGTTTTACTATTCCTAACCAAACATATAATGTTAATTTCGCTCTAATTTTCCAACCAGCCGGACCTGCTGCTTGCTTTCCAGGAAGCTTAAAAAATACCGTTTGAACTTTTCCACATTGAGCCCCTGTTTCCTCATCCGTCGTCGAGTAGATTAAGTCCCTAGCATTCATTCGATGGTAAGCGATACGTTTTCCATTAGCGATAAGCCATATGAAAACATCTGGGAGTGCATGTTGTGGCTGTAAAGTTGGTAATATTTAATGAGAGATTATTATAGAGCATTCAATTGTGTGATAAAAAGAAAATTAGCACATTCATGAATGCTTCACTTTAACCACATATTTATTTATCTCTTTCACAATCGATTATTGATTTTATCTCAAATGTGAGTTATAGTTATCATCAACTTACATCTTCTATGAGAAACCTTAATTTTTGTAAATAAGTTTGAGCAGTTTTGAAGCGTTCTTTGAGTGATGAGCGAGTTACGAGTGCTCGAAGGTTTCGAGCCATGTTTCCAATTGTTTCGATTTCTCTTTGGCATAATTTTATTCTTTCTTTATCTAACTTTGTTTTTCCTGTTCCGGGACCAGTTAGCGTATTCTTGGTTATTTGTAAATAATTGCTACAATCTGTTGCTAGTTCTTCTAAACAACTTCTCAATCTAACTTCAGCTTTTGGGTCTTCTTGCTCAATAAAGTGATTTGTTTCAGATAATCCAATTTCCATTTTTTCTGTCAATCTCGATAACATGTTGCTGTTATACATGCGTCTTCTTTGATCCGGGAAAATACATCTTACATTCATGCTTGGCTTGTAATCCCAAAAGGGAACTGTAAAATGTATGAGCAAAAGAAATTTGTAAGGCTTGCAAAAAAGCATGAAAGAATGTGAAGTTGAATATCGTCACGTTTTCTCAATGATCTCTTTTTTTCAATAAAAATATTCTGATTTAAAAATCAAAAGCTTACAAACTCTTTATGCAAAATCATATCAAAAAAATGTTTTGCAGCTGCCTAGCAAAGGCGACTTTTAACACTTACGATAGTAATGGTTCTTATCATGCGAAATAGGTTTACAAGAGCTCGTTGTACTGGAAAATGACGACACATCAATCGTTTCTGTGGCGAAAATGATTTGGGACAGAATAAATTTATGATTAATGAAGCATTTAATATGAAGTGAAGAAAGTCGTCGTCTTCCACTCACCCAATTCATCATCATCGTCATATTGGTGTGTGTTTGATTCATTATGACCATCTAGAGCGTTTCCCCAATTTCCAATACTCAACTCAAAATGCACAGACTTTTCAGATGTTTTCTTGTCCAACATTGAAGCTTCAAATATTGTTGCAAATAAAAAGAATTCTTCATTCTTACAATATGATGATTCGCTTATAGGATATGTTTGTTCCAATTCAACATTTTTATCTGTCGAAATGTCAGCATTGTCAGTTATTTCCGTTCGAATGGCAACAAGCAGTCGTGCACGGTAACTCACTCCTTCACCAAGACCCGTATTTAAAGTTGAATTTGAATCTAAGAGACTGTAATCACGTGTTGATCCATAAAGGTGGATGAAAGATGGGCCGTAGGTAGGTAGAAATCCTTTCTCACCATCGTTAGATATTTGCTTTAAGTCGATGTAATGGGTTCCGATGATTGCTGGTTTCATTGGATCAGCGTCACGCAATTGTATTTTTATTCGTTGGCACAAGGGAGGAAACATCTCTGTAAATATTAATTCTTCATTCCAAACTGGTGCATAAGAAGCTTTCTTCACAGTTGATTTTCCCATTAACCCAGCAAACGACACTTGCACATAGGGATTTACTAAATCTCTCGTTTCTCCAGTAAAAGCTCGCTTAACGTTTGCAACGAGGGATGAGTTCATTCGTGGAAGACCGTCTGCTCGATATATTTTGATAACAAATTTCGCTCTTTGACGTTCAATTGGTACACCATCAGGCAGAAGAAGATTTCTAAGTAATAATTTTGTTAATGGTTTCCAATTAATAAGATGATTTTTCTTACGCTTCAATGTCATCGGGATCTTTTTCAGATCGTGGTGGGACTTTAACAGTATCGCCTTTTCCAATTATTCCGACATCACATTTCAAATAACCTTTTGGCCCACTCAGGAAATCGTCAGGATCAGATAACAACGCCCATTTATGGTAGAACAAATGGTCTATTAACGAGATAATTTCTTAATTCCACACCATATTAAAAACGAAAAAACACTTTCTAAAAACAAAATTGATAAAAAGCATAACAAAACACATTTTCATATAATATTTACTGACAAAACATGCTGAGACAAAAACCAATGATAAATTTCTATTAATGGATAAACTTTTTCCATTACCTTTCTGATACCAAACTGTTGCTACATCAAGCTTAAACGATCCTATTGATTTGTTTGTCTTGTATTTATTTCTATGCAAGACCTTTTTTATATTCCAATAGTTACATTAATTGTTTTAAAGCAAATTGTTGTATCAGATCATCATAGGTCATTATGAATCGATAAAAATTTAATTAAATTTACCAAACAGTCCATTAACAGCCATAAAGCACATCCAGTAGATTTCGAAACATGTAATAATTTACACACATTCATAAATTGTATTAAAGTGAAGGATAATTGATGTATTAGGAGATTCAGAGGAGACAACATGATAGAGAAAGAAATAAATAAAATAGAGAAAGTAGAATACAAATATGAGAAAGAGTTTGACGAAATGTTTATTATGCTGTTAATAAATAATTTGAATTGATAACTAAGTAGATAGTAAATTCTGAAATATTAATTTTCCATATTTCCACGAAAATTTATTTCAACGTTTTTTAAAAGTCTGCTTAGGGGAACGCTTTGTGAAGTATGTTTGTATATATTCTCGCGTTTGTTTTTCTTTCATAAATATGAGGTAAAAATACATAACTTGATAAAAGTAAGCTGACAACGAAAATTGCACGCTTACAGCAGCACCCGAAGTGAAATCTCAGAAAATAAAATTTTATTCAAGGTTTGTAGATATATAATTATTGTCAACTAATATTTAATTCAAAAAGCTTTCAGGCAATAGTTTTGACAAAACTATAATTCAAATTGTTAAGATTATTTTTTACTATCAAAAAGGAATAAAATTATGAAAACAGTAAATTTTTATTTCCAATCGTTTTGTGACGTGAACAAAGACATATGTTGTCATTATCAAAATGTTTATGAGCGTTTTTGCAACCTAGGTATTTAAGCATACGAATTCTTCTTAAACTTTGCGATTGTTTCGCATAAATTTTTATTATGCTTACGAGTAAAAAAAAAGAAGTACCTAAATCTTAAAAAGATTTATAAAAAAGGAAATTTAGGAAAATTAGGAATATAATTTGATATTTGCTTAGATAAAAGAAGGAATTTTAGGCTTGAAATTCAAGTCTACATGAGATTTCGTCGTCCTCCGTTGATATTAAAATATTTTGTTAAATTTAAGAGAACTTTTAAAGTCAAAAATCAGTTTCATTTTCCAGTCTTTAAGGTTAATGAGACACATTAGAGACTAGTGGTCGCAAACAGTTGAATACACACGAGACTTTGTAATTCCCATTCCATTACGAAGCGTCAGAGAAAATAATATGAAACCCTTTCTAAACGACGGAATTTCATTAAAGAATTTCTTTTCATGTTCACTCGGTTTTCGTGTTTCCTTTTCTTCGGATATTTATTTAAACAAGAAGATATATAAACGATTCCGACGAGAATATTTTCACATTTTTTTTCTGCTGTATTTATTTCTTGGTCTAATGAGGCAGTAAGGATCAACTTACCAATACAACTCATCAATAAATAAAATTTTCTTGTACTTAAGTGCTCACGATGTGTCTGATAACATTTTAATTAATTCTAATCACTTTTATATCTCTTTCGTTTATTTTCATTATTTTTCACAGGATTATCAACTAATAGTAGTAGAATAGTTCAACTTCTACTGGTTTAACTTTACAACCGGGATACCTTTAATTTTTCAAAATTGTAATGCTTAAAACTCATTAACATGGATATCTTTTTTTGGATGAAGTAACAACTTGAATTTGATTATGAATTGCTAACTAAAATTATGTTAAAATATGTATTTAAAAAGGTTTTTTCATCAAATATTCCTTTCACTGAAGAAGCTTGATTAAAATTCGCGTATATAATTTCATTTTATAAGACTTTCTTCATTTACCTAATAGATTTAATCTATCTAACTATCTAAATATATCTAAAACGGTTTCCTCATCAATCGAATCGTTTGACTTAAAAGCGGAACAAATTGTATTCGGAAAATATTTCTATTCCTAGATGTTCTCTAACTTTAAATAAAAGAACAAACAATCTCTTCATAGCTCAATGGATACGATCTAACAGTTTCATATCATTTGATTTTGATGAAGAAATAAAAAAAAACAAGATACAGAAGCTAAAATATTTCTTTGTTATTATGTTATTTTAGTGCACATAAATCATATCGCGCTTCAGTGAAACATTGTGTACACCATACCATATACATTTATTCATTTCACGTACGTGATCAATTTACCGTAAATAAATTTGCACAAAATTCCTTTGATAGAAATAAGAGTTTCATTATGTGATAAATTCTTTCGTAAAAATTGTATTTGGTTTCTAATGTCTTTTAAAATTTTATCTTTAAACTCAATCTTCAAAGTATCAAAAACATAAAAAAACGTAACAAAAGTAAATATGACTCTGAGTCTCAGACTGTATTTTACGATAAGAACTTTAAAAAGTTTGTGAGAATTGTCGAGCTCTAAATATTTAATTGTTAATTAAAGTTTGCATCAATCATAAAAAATTTAAAACCATTATACTTTTGATGAATAATTCTCGAGCATTAAATATGAGAGACAAAAGTAAGAAGTTGACAAGGAAGTTGATATCTTTTTGAAATCATTGCTTACTTAATTACTTTGAATATTTGATTATCTTTTGAGACAGCCTGGCATGTCAAACAATTTTTATGAAAATGTCGAAAATAACTTCAAGCTACAATTTGTCGAAATTATTTACTTAATAAATTTAATACTAGCATGAATGTATTTACGAACGAAATTTTAAAGCTCAATCTAAATTAAAAAGTTTATGTTTAGTCTTACAATCAAAAGAAAATTGTTACACTATTACTTCGTTTAAAACTTAATTAACTTTTTTTATTACATTTCTCTAAATACAAACTAAGCAAGAATGGTTGAATGGATTATGACCATAAACCTCTTCTTACATACACTCTCCTAGAGTTCATCGGAAAACAATTGTTTAAACATGTACATAAAAAAGTACTGAGTCTTGCTTCTTTGTAACATCAGATAAGACTTTCTTTTTCAATTTAATACTTAATGAAGATATTTCAGATGAAAATATTACAGATTGAGAGAAGTTAGGATTTTATTCAGAATCTTGAGATAAATGAGACACATTTATAAATGTTTAATAATCATAAGAAAGGAATTGTCTTGGGAACGTAATAAATAAATTTCTGTAGCATTTATGGAGATGATAAAGAAATAGAAAATTCCAAGTCTTAGCAACGATAAAATAAAGGGTTCCTCCAAGAAATCTTTTTGACTTCGAAATGGTGATTCCATCAAGTAAAGTTAAGTGAGTTAAACGATCAAGACCTCGGTCGTAAATGAGAGAGGAAAATTTACATTTAAATTATTGATAAACATTCGCAACATCCTTTCTCTCTGATAAATATTTTCCTTCCATTTGAATAAATTGGAACCACCCCTAAACGAAAAAATCAATTTCTTTTTTTATTTGGCATTTCAAGCTGCAACTACAAAATTCATGCTTATCAGAAAAACAAAATCCATTAATATTAAATAAAGATAAAAATGCTTAAGTAGGAATAAAAAAAAACAACAAACCCTTATATATATAAAGAATGAATGAAACATTTAAAAAATGTATATTTATTAGATAAGCGTTAGTTATGTACCATGTGCATCATAAACAGTCTTCAAATCAATTTTGAAGGAGCCGACAGTTTGTCCCGACCGCATAAATCTTCGCGAATGAATAACCTAGAATATCGATAATATTCAATGTAACCGATTAAGAAAAAAACTCTTTCTAATTTTGGTAAATAAATTGACCTTATCCAATTAATTATTTCCGATTATCATAAAATTAATTTATCATAATTAACTCGTAAATACCTATTACCCAGCATAAAAAGTTAAAGACCGTGTTGTTGAAAGAATGTTATAAATATTAAAGCCTTTTTGTATAAAGTTAAGCAACAACACTTATTGACCTTCTTACTGAAGACAGCTTTTTGCCAAGAAATCAAGTTCAATTTATCTTTAAAAAGGAATCCGAGCTTTTAAATATATCTAACGAGATAAAAATATAATACTAAATGAATGAATGAAATCTCTCTTTGTGCTCGTACATATATTTAGAAATTAAGCATTAATAAATATTACGAATAATAAGGCATTTTTAAGAGGATATGACAATAACTCTTTAATTACAAAACCCTTCATGTACAATGAATTCTGGTGAAACATAATAAGGACCGAAACTTTTTCATGCTTCTATGTGTAATAAAGAAGTATATATCTATGTATTATCATTTGTTATGTATTTGCCTTAAAGTGTAGCGTATTTGTATTCACATAGTGAGATTAAGAAGAACAAAAAGCTCACTTGAATGTTTTAAAGCTTTCTGAGAAGTGAAAGTTTTTATTACTTAATGTTATAATAATAATAAAATTTATGTAAAATATACATTATGTATATTATTTATATGGTATAACTTTTCTAATATTTTTGCAGTGGTTTCATTACTTGAGCATTAAATTTTAAATTTTTAAAAAGCTTGTTTTTCTCAAGATGATAAATCACGAATAGGTAACAAAGTAATGGAAGATACTTACAGATAACGTGATGATTTTATCAAAAAGCATAACAGGTGGCATGTGAAAGTCAAAGACGAAGTACTGTGGAAGAAATAGAAAAAAAAAGTTAAGCTACTGATGAAAGTAATTTTTTAAGACAATTGAATCACGTAGCTTTCAATCAAAAACCACATAGATTTGCTATAAAAACTCAAGATAAACTAACCTCATTGTAGTAAGGGCAATTGGTACTTTCTTTCACACTTGTATATTTTTTCTGGTCTCCTACTTGTATACAGACAACAGGATCCATATTTAGACCAGGCAATTGACGAGCCTCAATGATAGTAACGCAAACTTGAAAGTCCTGTGATTTTAAGTGATCGTTAAATTTATGAAGTCTAACTTTCGTTCTTCCATCTTGACTGCGCTGAGTTTCTTGAAGACTTTGATCTGCTTTGTTGGCATCATTTTCTGTATTCTCATCATTTTCGATTTCGTTATCTATATCGCTTGACATCATTGATTGAACGCTTTCAGCATGGGACATGTTATCGTACTGCACAGTGCTATCTTTTCTTCCCATATATGATGACTCGTCAGCGTCACCAATCAACGATCTATAAAAAAATATTTTACTTTTTCTTATATTTTCAGGCAATGCTTTTTTAAAGCTTACCTTCCCTCATCTTCTGTGCTACTGTCTCGTTCACGCTCCTTTGATGAATGTCTCGAGCGACCAATTCTCATAAAATTTTTAACAGCTCTCAAAGTAACCCTCTTATCTGATACACTGGCTGACCCGGTAACATCAGAATTTTGTGATTTCTTTATTCAATTTGAAAAAATATTTAATTAAAAATATAAAGAAAGCTGGGTGAGTCCATGATAAATATTTTGTATGTTTTGTTCTTAATTTCCTTTCCTTGGGTGTTAGTAAACTTGAATTTATTCATGATAATCTGAATTAAGAAACTTGAAAGCCTTTAATCTTCAATTAAGAGTAATTTTAACACAGAGAAGGTGTTGGGACCAAACAGAAGGAAGTTCACTTCCATTCTCATATTTATATATCTTTCCCTAATTTCTATATTTATTGTTGTCTACTTTATCAAAAAATTTAATAGGAGATATTTCCGTCATTTTCATTTATTTTCTGAAGATAAACATAAACATAAATATATTTATTTATGCAATGAGACATTTTTACGTGATTTTATTTAATGTGTACGTTAGCACCATTTTAACGGGTGTGGTAGAACCATCCTCCGTGATAAATGTTTTTGTAATTTTGAAAAGAATTACAAATAAACTACAGTTCACGACACGGAAAGAGAATTATAACAAAAAAAAAGTTAACCGCACTCAGAATACATGATTCTAATATATTCTAAAAGTTTCCAAATTTGTAATTACCTTCACTTTATTGTTGCCATTGTTATTTGACATTTGATGATTTCTTTCACCGCCTAAAGCTCGTTGAAAAATGTTTTGCTTTTTCAGTTCCGCATCTGTAAAGGGCGAAGTTTCTCATAGAATATTCTCTTATTTCCATAATTAATGAAGGTTAAAGGAGAGACATTTTTGAACGTCTAAGATATGGAATCTTAATTAAATGTTGCATATCTCTTTTAGCAGTCTCAAAGGATCAGAAAGAAATTAAATGTACTGACATTAAAATTATTATTCGTAAAAAATACCTTGAAAGCTCTTCTCAAGATTTGCTATGTTTTGTTCTATGTTGAGAAGCATTTGTTGGTCATCTTCAAGACTTTGTTGTTGTACAAACTTTGAAACTGTCGGAGAATCAAAATTTCCTGCCACATTTTCCGGAGATGCGTATCGAATTTCAAAGTTCACTACTGCCGAAATTGGACGATTATTTGAATCCACTAAGTTATCTTCAATGTTCACTCTTCCATCTTGCATGAGCCCTAAAAAATGTATCGATTTAATAATAAATGCGACAGAAAAGGAAAAAAAAGTTTCTTCGTTTATGTAAAAATGTTCAACAAGTTAAATTTTATTCACAACCAGATTCTTGTGGAAAAGACATTCCCAACAAGAGAAACAGAGTGGAAATACAAGAATACCTAATAAGAGTTGATGCAGAAAACTTCAGGGAATTAGAAAAGTTTCAATTCATTTTCATTCTACCGAAAAGATTTCTCAAGATTTTCTACTTAATTTTAAAAATAAAAATAAAAAAATCATTAAGTGGATACTTTTTTTCCTCCTTTTTCCAACAAAATTTAAAGTAATGTAAATTAAGCTGTTGAAGCTACTTTAATATGGCACGTGCAAAAATGCTGAAATTGTTGCTTCGAATCTTTTAAA